CCCCAAGGCTTTATTTGCTTGCTTTCTTTGCAAGTAAGATGATGGAGACAATTCAACTACTAAGAAATCTGCCACAATTCCTTCTACCAAGTTCTTACCATCAAAAGACCCCCTTTTTGTCTTCTGCCTTAGTCCCCTTATTTCTCAGGTATTTTCCTATGAACTGCAGTGTTTGTGAATAAATACCTCATCCATTACTTAAGGGCATGAGTATCGCATAGGGAATACATAATGAACCAAGTACCTGAAAATTAGAAACAAACATTTTTCTTTGATTAGTTTCTTAGATTTGTTGTTTTGTATTTTGAAGGGCTTCACAATGTGCCCATCACGTTAAATAAAGAAATGGATTCTCTTTTGTGTTCCTTACTTTAGATTAAATGAGGACTTCTGACGACTGATAAACATTGGGTTTCACAAAAGTCACTGGACTTGATAAAGATATTTTGATGCAGTATACTGCTTTGTAAAGGAAAGAGATGAAAACTAGATAATTTAGAAGTCTCTCTTGGTCCTAATTTTCATGAAAAGATGAAATACCGTAATATTCTTTTTCAGCATAGTTTAGCATGGTGTTTTCAAACACATATGAATCAATACACAGCCTAATAGAAGGATAGTATGATGATGTTTTCCACGATGTATCAGGGGAGTGATTCCCATTGATGACAAAGAAGCATTAATCCCATCAAACAAGGTCTGGGTAAAACCACATCTGGAGTTTGTTGCTGCTCAGTGAGAATGAAATTACATGGGAGCAACTGAAGAGGACTACAGGATCGTAGTTTACAGGACAATAAATGAAAGGACAGTGTGTCTTAGAAATAAAGGTGAGCAAAACAAACTGTGTAGGATTCAATGGAACAAAGATTGGGTAGGGAAAATATTATTCTGTATGAATATGTGAGGGTATTTTAGACACTAAAGAGGGAGAGGAGTTGTTTAAGCTAAAGGACAGTGCTTGCTCTGGAAAAAAAAATGATCTAGTAACAAATAAACTTTAATGAAAATGGGAGGATGGTTTTGAGACATCACAGGAATAAATCTCTGGGACAGCTTCTTGACACGAGTCATATTAGCAAAAGTCATAGCTGTTTTAAGGAGTCTGGTATTTGCACGTCTGGGCTTATGCAGTGTGGTTGCCTGAAATAGCTGAGGATTGGTCTCATTAACCCAAAAGGTCCCGTCTGCTGCTGAGTACAAGAAATAGCATTTGAGTCAGTAATTAAAGAATCTCATTTTTGTGTGTGAGGAAGTGAAAAAGCCTACAATTGTCATTAATTTTCTGTTGTTACTTTTTAGTTTTGGCTTTAATTTTGAGCATGAAATAGTTTGACCTTAATGTTATCTTAAAATAGTTTCTGTGGAGGATATATATTATAGAAAGATACATGCATTAATTAATGCCACACAAGATGCAATGCAGCTGCTCAGTAGAGAAAAATACTCTATTCTAAATAAAAGAGTACATTATTAATATATTCACTGAGTTCAACACCTTTAAATAGGCCCCCAGATTGCTCTATTTGTGGACAAAGCACCAGTGCATTGGTCTCTGTTGAGAAACTGCCCTGAGTCATCTGTTCACTTAAAGTGTTTTTCTTTTTTTTTTGTTACCATGGTAACATTCAAAAATTTTTTTCCCCAATTGTTCCGTTTCAGAGGAATTTTAGAAAACTCCCAGGGATGAAAACAAAACAATAGCTAAGGAAAACACAGCTGAAGCACTATAGGGGAAACTCCAGACAACAGATGCTAATTTGTGAGCGTGTAGAGCTCAGGTTTTGTTATCAAGAGGAAGTGGTGGTTCTGTATCTGCTTTTTGGTTTCTCTTCCAGTAAATCTGTACCATTTTATCAGAAAGCAATATGTGGTTCAAATATTTATGACATAAGTGTGTAATTAATTCATAAGAGTATCTTTTTTTTAAAAAAAAAAAAAAACAAACAAACAGAAATTATATTGTGGTAATGGAGAAATATTGGCAGGAAAGTATTTGAGAAAAATTGTTAGTAAAGATTTATCTGAAGTTTCTTTTTTCAATTTTTTTCAGATTAGGATAATTCTACATTTTTTTTTTCCTTCTGATTTTTATGTAGGGTTCAGAAAAAATTAGGTACATTAATTTGTACTGCACGTTCTCTCCAGTTCGTTTTGCTACCAAGTGCTAGAGCTGAGTTGGGTAATACATTTATTATTACCCTGGCAGAGGCTGGGAACAGGAAATGAATGTCTGCTGTCAGGGGAGGAATGGTTCAAAGCCCTGCGAGGTCAACAGACGATTTTCCATTTACTGCAGTGGGTTTGGTTCAGTCTGTTTATCTCTGGTAATACATTATGGTTTCAAGTGAGGCAAAAGGGCTGCAGAATCAAATCCATGTATGTGTGACTATGGGAAGACAGTTCGCAGTGTTTAATATACTATATTCAAAAAGCATCTGGGTGCTTTTCTTATCAAAGCATGTGACAATGTTCATGGTAGACATTAGAGAACGAAGTATCACCAAGGAGGAGGGATTTTAATGCAGTAATAAAGAGAAGCAAATAAACTGTATAATCAAATCAGAACTATAAATTGTTAAGGAAAATGGGATTGCGTTTATTATATTCTGGCAGTAAATTCTTTCTTTGATTTATAATGCCAACTGCTACATTTGCAAAATACTGAGTTATATTACTATATCTTTTGGGGAAAATTACTTCACATTGTATGATTCTCTACCTATTGAAACTATAAGCCTAATTAAAATAACATCTTGGAGAGGAGAATAAAATCCTATGTACCTTATTCTTCAAATCTGCAGTATTTGATAGCACTCATAAAAATACTATAATCAGTGCTGCTTTTATTTATTTCATTCACTTTTTCACACTTTTAAAAAAATGCTGACTGTTTATGAGCTAGAATCCCCCTTCCATTGCTTATCTCCGTAAAGAGGTTTTATTTACTTAAAACATACCTTCTGTGCTAAAAATCATTTTTTCCTAATCAAAATTATTTCTACTTTGTAAAGCAAATCTACTGTTAACCAACTCGTCCTGGAGAAAAATGGCTTTAATCTCAGAGACTGCATTAAACTTCAGAAGAAACTGAATCAATAAAGGTGAAGGTCATGGAAACAGATGATTAGAGCAAACAACAGGCTGCCTACTGTACAATAGGGTTATAAAATAAACTGAAACAAAAGACTATCAGAATACATCAAGAATGAACTTTATGAATAGGTTGGTCTTCAGAATGCTGAATGGTCGGATTTATCTCCCACAGGTTTTTTTTTCCTCCTTCTCTGCCTCCCTTACCCCCCAGCTCTCTTCTTGTTTCCTGCTACGTTATAGACTAAATTACCCTGTGGAAAGATCGGCGATCCTTGATTAACTAATGTGTCAGGTTTTCAATGCCCACAAATACCTTGTGCTGACATGTGTGTGATGTGAAATGAATATTGCTCTGAAGGAGGTGAAAAATGGACCATTTTGTTATCTGTGTAGCTGGCCTCTATCTCTCTACACACATGTAATACAAATTCCCACATGCAATTTTTAGCTGATTTTTTGAGTGGGAGTCAGGGAGGAGATTGGGGGATGGGTCTATAAACAGGAGTGAATAGCAGCCACAGTGATGGAGGACTTGGTTTAGATCCTAGAGCTTAATAACAGTTAGGGTTAATAGCTTGAGGTGATTAACTGTTTCCAACCAGTCATTAATCTGCAGGAGGTGTCTTTAGTCTTGTTCATTATTGGTAAGAAATGACACCCTAACATTTTGCTTGAACTTTGTTCTTTTGTTGTTGACAAATGAGTCTGAAAACAAATGTAGTGGAATCAAAACCTACAGCATGATGTCACTTTTCTGGTGCTTATATCAAGGGCTGCCCCGGAGCTGGGGTGGAGCTCCAATCTGACCATAATGGCAAAAATTTGGCTCCTGGTTTTGTACCTCAGTGTCTGTTTTTCTTTCCTTTTCTCCCTCAGTGTACTGCACATCTAGTAATACCTACTACTATTGAAAATTGGGATATTCACTTACCTAAATGTGGATTTGAGTCTTATCTTTGTATTTTAAAAGCAGGGATATTAAATTTTATCCAAAGCTAAATTTAGACTAGTGATATTATCTTTGCCCACTGCCAGCATATTTCACTCATAGTCTGGCAACACCGAAGGGAATTTGCAGGACCTGACTATAGGGGTTTTAATCTCCATTCCCTGCACTAGCCTAAGCCAAGTGAAAATCTTGACAATCCACTTCAGCAGGGATGACAAGAGCAATGCTGGAAATTTCACTGCAGCAGACCCAAAACTGTTGATAAAAACACACAAAATTATTAAGCTAAAGGTGGAGAAGACATCAATCATTTTGGAAAGAGACCGTTTGATTCTTTCCTCAAAGCACAATCTGACCTGACACCAGCCTGACAACATTCTTTTATTCTATACAGGCCCATCACTGTCTCATTCTACAATATTGTTAATAGGGCCAGAAAAAAAAAAAAAAAAATAAAAAAAATAAAGGAACAACAGTGTTAGGGTGTATGAAGGGAATGAGGGAAGGGGAAAATAGAAGAGGTTAAAGGTTTAAATGTACAGAAAGAAATTACCTTTTATATACTAATTTAAACTTGCTCTACTGTTGCAGGTCTGTTTGTCATGTCCACAGAGGCATGTGAACTGGCTCATGCAATTACACTAAGAGATAAAATACGTTAAAAAAAGTTAGCATTATTTTTTATTTGAAATATTAAATCTGCCCTTCCTCTCTCTTTTACATCAGAAAATAAGAGAAAATAAAATAAAAGAATAGAAAATAAAAGAAGAAAAGAAAAGAAAAGAAAAGAAAAGAAAAGAAAAGAAAAGAAAAGAAAAGAAAAGAAAAGAAAAGAAAAGAAAAGAAAAGAAAAGAAAAGAAAAGAAAAGAAAAGAAAAGAAAAGAAAAGAAAAGAAAAGAAAAGAAAAGAAAAGAAAAGAAAAGAAAAGAAAAGAAAAGAAAAGAAAAGAAAAGAAAAGAAAAGAAAAGAAAAGAAAAGAAAAGAAAAGAAAAGAAAAGAAAAGAAAAGAAAAGAAAAGAAAAAGACAGCTCATATTTATGACCAAAAGAAGAGGAATTCCAAGGAAACCTCAGTGCAAAGGAAACTTTGGTGATAACAACGGATGTGTTGTGGATAACGAACAGTAGCTGGTGAGAGATTATCCTGACTCTAGTATTAAATTAGACTTGGTGCAAAATATACCTATCTTTGATGTTGAATTTAAAGCTAGTGTGCTATCAAAATCCGGGTAGAGGCTCTGCTGTGTGTTGGGCTGTCACTGAAACTCAAGTGTCCTATTTGAATGACTGAACATTTTGCACACACAGTAGACTTCTTCCTGTGAGTTGAGGGCTTTGTAAAATTACATTACAAAATCAACATTGACTGTGACACACATTGAATCCCTCGTATGGTGAGCTGAACAGGATAGCATGATGTTGTTTTTCAGCTGCACACTTCAGAGAGATTGACATATAGGTAAGTTTTTACAGCAAATTCAAAAGCACTTAAATGACTGCTTTAGACCTGGTCTGCCTGCTGTTATGATTAAGGACTGTAGTGTAAATAACAGTTTAGTCCTAATGCAGAAGATGTCACAGAGGACAGTGGATAAAGACTGTTTGCACTAGTTCATATCCAGGCACAAGTGGTTCAGATTCACTAGTTTGATGTGGCACAAGTGCTGTTGTGAGTAGGAAACCTCATCACTCATCTTTCTCTAAGGGTGCAGAGACCTGTTGTGCCCAGGAGGTGTTTCTCCATAGTCTCTACAGCAGAGTTTTCAGGAGCACTTCTCTACTGGCTGTCCCCTATGACCACATAAGCACATAACAGCCAGTTAGAGAGGAATTTCAGACCTTTTCTGAGCAACGTAATAATGTATGTTCCTGGACCAGTGGTCTGTGTCTCTCAGCATGTTGTGGGAGGTGAAGCTAAAGCTTCTTGTACTGGACTTATCCTCGGCCCACTGCATTCCCATAGTAATGGCTTTAGCACCTCTGTACAAGTCCGTTTGCAACTTCTGGGCTGTGGCTCATGTCCAGAGGCTTTGGTGTCCTCACCATGTATGCTGAAGACAGAGAAGGAATTGCATGTGCATAGGCTGCTATGTGACAATTCACTGACAAATAAGAAGACATTGGCAGCATGGGAAATGGGGTGACCAGAGCTCTGGAATGCTCATGGCACACATACACATGGCAGGACACATTCCTGGTGGCCTGTTGCCTTGCCTGGCCATGTGTTTTTTGAAGGAAGAGCTACTGCACACTGAAATTTCAGCTATCAAATCAGCTGAAGGTAGCCTGAAGCTCTCCAGAGTGGTGGACACAACAGTGGTGACTTCTGTGGCTCTCCATGCATGAGGATGGAGGAGGTTAGAGTGAGATTTGAGGATAAAGGTACTTTTTAATCTAGTGTTCCTTTCACCATCTCTTATATCAGCTGCCCTCCTTTCCACCCCATTAACTGTATGAGCATACCCTTTTATCAGCTTAAAGGCCTTAAAATACACTATTTCAGATGTGGATTAAGGTCAATGTGCAGCTCTCAGTAACTCATACTGATGAATTCCTCTTTGGGGTGAAGTTGTAGAGGAGTGCTGCAAGGTTGCATAGCTTTTCTATGTCACTTACAGAAATATCAAATAAAAAGATGTAATTTGTCAAAACCTCAATTAGAGTAATACATTTGTGCCTGAAAACAATATTTCCCCTAGAGTTCAGATAAGTTTACTTAGAATTCAATATAAGAATACAGAAGGTATTTACTTTCAGTTTTATAACTAAATCCATGACAATTTATTTTGTATGAAGGTTAAATGACTTAATAATGGAATTCTCAGAATGTTTTCGTATTTCCTGGATGTTGGAAAAGGAGTGTGTTTTTTTTTTTTTTCTCCTAGGTAGAAAAAAAAGACATAATTATGTTCTTGCTTTAGCAATGTAAATGACTTTACTGATAAATGAAAACTGATATTTCAAAGCTGTAGTTTATTATAGCCTGATGGCATGTTAGCCCTTATCATTCAAGGCAGTATTTAACTCTGAATAATATATTATGCTAACTCTGAAACTGTTATGGTGAGATTTTTATGCACCATAAAACATGTCTTACGATCTTCAGCATGCTAAAATGTCAGTCTAACATATTAATCTAACATATATCTTGGAAAACAGTAGTTTTCAAAATCTGTCTTCATATATAGCATTTCTTGCATTTCTTAATGCATGGATTTATGTGTAAGTACAGGATTTTCAACTTCTGAATAAAATAATTATCTTTTTTTTCTGCATGTATAAAACCTAACACAATGAGGACTCAACCATAACTGAGGATCCTAGGTTCTGTCAAAAATTCTTTATTAAATGAACAGTGTTGTTGGCAAAGCAGCCGTGATACTGAAGCAATGTATTTGAATATATTATTGGGTTTGCTATTGGACGTTTCATGTTGTCCCTTTCTGATCTGAAAGTACTGGTCTTAGTTTAGATGTTACTATTTTATTTTGGCAATTCTGAGAAAAATGCATTAGCTAATCTTGAACTGGAGGATCATGGGGAAAAACAAGGACAGGGAAATAGTGTCTTCTGGGCTCAGACTCATGCAGCATGGAATTTATGCAGAGGATAGCAAAAAGAGGTTTATGAGACGCTGTCTCCAGTCAGGTGGGCCAAGTTTGTGTGTATTCACAATTCTGTCCATCCGGTCTCAGAGATACTCTGGCCCTTGTGAGGACCACTGCTGAAGGTGGACATATAATCAATTTGCTTCTCTCAAAACTAGATCTAAAAGATAGGCAGTGTTTCTGCTGACGCAAAGACGTTGGCTAACCATTAGATTCTACTGGGGCAAGCTGACATTGCCATCACACCACTCCTTTTTGTAATGGTCAGGGTGGAAAAAAGAAGCTGTCAGGGAGATGTTGCAACATCCAGGTATTCCTGTGGCAAGTAGAGGATTGATCTGCAAGGCTCACAGCTGGACTACTGCGAAGCAGTCAGTTCAACAGTGCATCCATGGACTACAGCTGGAGTGATCACTCCCGGGCTCTGTTCTGCTCAGATCTGACTTTAGCAAATGGAAGTCCTAAATTGAAGAGTTTTCTCTCATTTATGTCTGCATTAATCAAAATCTTGTAATTCTGGACTTTTGATTTGATGGGATTTGATAGGTCTCATATGAAGAATGGTTTAGAGGCGATCCTTATTTTTTTGTACAATTAATTTTTTTAGTGAGAATGGATAGTTCACAAAACAGATCAGACATATTTAAACTAAACCAAAAAGTCAATGTGCTGTTACATATGTTCTGCATTCTCTCCCTTAAGTACATAGAAAATGAGTAACTATAACCTATACCCTTTCACAATGTAACAGATATTTAAATGAAGAAAACTGCAAAAGGCAAAAACGTTCTTAGTTAGTTATACTAATTAATTAGGCAATGGGATTTGGTCCAGATAACTCTGTAAAGAAAGACAGATTTCATCTGAAGCTAAATGTTGCCCAGCTGCCATATCACATTCTTTCTTTACCTGTAGACTAGATGTAGTATCTTAGCACACTAAGTTCTTCTGAAATAAAAATATATCAACAGCTGTCTTTGAATATGAACTACGTTTTCTGGTTTTCAATCTAAATGGCTTGACTACTGCCATAGTTATCATTATAAGGATATATTATATTTTGTGTCTTACCTTGTTCTGAATGAGAGTTAAAAACATGAGGCCTGAAGGCTCTGTTGAGATCTATATTTACATAATTTGAAGACATGTGCTTAGAAACTTCTATCTAAACATGTTTGAAACTATCTAATCCAAGATTTTTACATTTAGGTGTTCTGAGTTTCTAAAATTTGCCTTTGTAGCTTACAGGAACTGCCTTTGATTATCCTGATTACATGTCTGCAATGATCAGAGACACTATTTTCTGATTTTGAAGAGGTAGCCAAGAGAAAAAAGGAGAAAAATAATGATCAGATACAAAGCTGAAGGTGCAATAATTGAACGGTAGAGCAGTAAAGCTGAAGGTGCAATAATTGAAAGGTAGAGCAGTATTTCTTAGTGTATTGCAAACTGAATGGAGGTTGTGCAGTTTAAAGGAGAGGTTAGAGGGTCTATTGCACAAGAAAATTTCAATTCAGGGCCAGCAGTGGCCACCTGTGGTAGGGAAGATGCAGGTGAAGAAGAGGAAACAAGAAGTGTGATGCATGGATAATAGGCCTCGTAAAGAGAGGATTCAATAAAGCAGCAGCTGGAGAGATGTCCTAGCACTACAGCAGTCTTTGTTAGGTATGCGCTGCTGTACACTGTTGCTCTCATTCCTGTTGAAAAAATCAACAAGAGACTAAGTAGTACTTAGGAAAATTAGATTGCATTTTCCATTTATTAGAGGAAATGTGCTTTTTTTGTTCAGTAGAAAATAACAGAAAAATCTATTTGTTGTTAAGGGGAGTTGTGCATATCTTTTTTTCATAAAACAAATCTCCGATGAGTCTTTCTCATACAGATTTTAGGGAAACAGTTGTCTGGTTATATCTAAGGGAAATTTCTGGATTGGTACTCGCAAAGAACTGTCAGGGGCAGACATAGGCTCCTCCAGTCCAAAGCAAAGATTTGTAATGTGTTCATAATGACTGACCTACAGGAGCTGGATATAAGCAGGCATAAAAATATTTATAGGCAAATGATTTATCCTGAATGTTATTGACACTAGCCAACTGCTGACAAATGGCAGTATGTGAAAATCTGTGAAGATCTAGTCATCACCAAGGAGCTCACTGTTAATTAGTTAATCCAAGCGGATGGTTCTTGAAATGAAGCATATAAAGCATTTGAAAATTTAGATCCTCAAAACTTGCAAAAAGTTGCACACACATATTTGCAAGGGGAGGGATTTCTGAGCTTGAATGCTTGGCATAACTACTGAAAGTGCAAGGATGCATCTGTACCAAGGTCCAAGCCAGGGGTGCACACTGAAATCATCCATGACACTGCAAGCTCTGGCTGACCTCAAGCGGAATATTTTAAATCATTGAACTTCATTCTTCTTCACTTCCTAGAACAGATCACATCATCTACTTCTAAGTGTAGTTTCAGTGTATTTCAGTGGCACAGTATCCAAAACCAAACCAGCCAACCAGCCCCTCTAAACAAACAAGGGAACTTTGTATCTTAAGGTAAAAGAGAGCAGGAAAATTATTCCCTGGGATGAGAACAAGGAAGAAATGAATCACAGAATATTTCCATCAAGAAGTTGTTGACAGTTTGAAGAAGGCAAATAATTCAATGACTAAGTGAGAAGTCTGTTATTTTTCTTTGTTGTATATTCTTTGGGAAGTGTGAATTTTATTTATATACTTTCTGAGTAATAGCAGAGGAGAAAGGATAACTAGCATAATAGAAAGGAAAATGTCTCTCAGCTAGACTTTGTACAGTGAAAGATGTGATCTCAGATAATGGATACTAATGAAGGAAA